AAAAACTATTCCTCCAATTAGGATTATAAGAATTTGAAAAAGGTTCCCTGTTTCTATTAAAACCGTGAGCTACTTGCACTTGTTCTTGCATAGGGTGAAATGATTGATCTAAATTATAACATTGAAATTCAGAATAATCGTTTTCACCATACATAGGACATGTACTATTCGAATCAATGTTTTCTAATCTTTGATTAATCTGATTAACCTCATTTCTAAGTTTAGAATCATCATCATGATGCAATTCATAAATTCCTCTCTTCTTATCCCTGTCATATAATTCAAAAGAGGCTTGATCTCTAGAATTTTCACTTAAATTCTCATAAAGACTGTAAATCTCATCAGGAGTTTTCTTTATAAAAGCTCTTCCACATATAGAATCAACCATATTTCTATGTTGTTCTAATAATCCATCATAAAAAATTCTATTGAGCTGCCACTTAGGTATAGCATGATGAGGACACTTTCTAAGTAAATCTTTAAATTTTTCCCATGTCTCATGCAAAGTTTCTCCTGGTCTTTGAGAAAAACTCTATATATGTTTTCTCATATTTTGAGTTTTTCCTAAGGGATAAAATTTTCGAAGAAAGGCCTGTTCTATATCTTTCCAGCTAGTTAATTCTCTATCTAATGTGGATAGCCAATGACTAGCTTTGTCCCTAAGTGTATGAGTGAATAATTTCATCTTAATAATTTCCGGTGTAACTTGAGGGAGATTAACTAAATCACAGACCATATGAAAATTTTCCAAGTGCTGATGAGGTTCCTCTAAAAGCAATCCATGAAAATTAGGGAGCATTTGAAAAATTCCTGGATTTATTTCGAATTTAACAGTGGGTGCTAATGGGACTCTAATATTGGATGCTCTTTGAAATGAATCAGGGATATAATGATTTTTCATGGCCATAGGATTGTTCTCAGTTTGACCTGTACTTCCTTCAAGATCCATCAAAATTAATTTTTCTTTCTGATTTTTCTTTTTGAATGAAATAATGAAAGGATTTTCTAGCCTTGGATGCAAGGATCTTCCACCATGCATAAAAATCAATAAATTCGAGGGAAAAAGTTAGTAACTGTTACCCTCCTTCAGGATGCTCCAGTCCTTGCCGTGCTTCTTTTCGTTCCCTTTTCGTTCCCTTTTTTTTTGTGTACTCTAAGAGAAAAATAGAAAAATACTAAATATTATGCAATACATCTCCGGCAACGGCGGCAAAATTTGACGTGACTCAGTCGTTTAATTTGACGGCCGGAAGAATCGTAGTTGAACAAAGTATAGTTTGGTAAATTAAAATCACACAAAGTATCACTAAATAAAGCGTAAATTAAACTGAAAGCAGGAAACCACAGTTCCGGCGTCGCGACGGCGATGCGTCGGCGATGCACCGGAATCCTGAGCGTTCGGGAGGATCGTCGTGCAGTGTCCACGGCCTCGAAGGCTCTCCTTGGACAAAGACGACGTGGGCAATCTCTAGATCTTCTCGCGAAGTCTAGAGATCAATGAAGTGGGTCGTCGAGTCGTCTCCGGCGGCTGTCACCCAGCGGAGCGGAAAAACGGCGACTTTGCGGCTCTCCAGCGGCTTTCACCCGTCGGAGAGGAGCTGGATGGAGGTGGGGCGCGTGTCAGGGAGCTTCATCCTCAGGTCCGCGCAGCAAGGGGAGGCTCTTAATCGCATCTGGTACGCTCTCAGGAGGTGGCGACTCGTCTCCCGGCGGATCGTCCTCTTCCCGACGACGGCTTGTTTGTCGATCAATCGGAGATGATTTACTCGATGGATTGCGATCCTTTTATCGTGAATCGTTCAGCAATTTTAGTAGCAATGCTCCGCGAATCACGTTGACGAGATTTTCGCCGATGATCCAGCGATTCCGGTTGCTTAATCCTTCACCGGCGATCTGCAGGAAAGTCGCGATAATCAGTTAAAAATATATGAATTTTGACTCTGGGAGGATTTGAACCCGCGGCGGTCGCCCGCCCCTGAGCAAGGTGTGACGCGGGTTTAGTCCCACATCGGTTGTGCGCGGATTATTCGGGCGAATATATAGTAAAGTTAGCTTTCTAGGCAAAGTCCTCTCGCGTGTACGACCACATCTTGCCCCATAGCCGGCTGGCCACCGGTGACGTGGAAGGGGAGTAGCGCACACGTGCCCCTATCGATCCAAGCAAGCCGCTCGAGCCCCTGCTCGCGGCTACTCCCCGAGTGCGCTTCCGACCCGGCTGGCCGGCGGGTCCCTCCATTTTGCAATATTTTTATTTTTATTACTTGTTCTTCATTTATCTCAAAACTAAGACTGTAAAAATCGTATAAAATCACATAATTACCCAAAAATTCACGTTAATGACCTGAAAACCACTTTTCATGCTTTAACACAAATATAAGTCAATTTATCATGAGTTAAGGCTAAAACTATATTATTTACTAATTATTAACTCATGATAATGAAGACTTATCAAGAAGGCATGAAGAAGGATCCACCGTCAATTCAACAAAAAAATAGTATGGATCTAGTGGTTGAGATACTTACTTATCAAGAGGCACACGAGAAGTCATGAAGGAAGATCCGATGGAGGAAATGATTACATGAAGATCTCATTGTAGTCCAAAGGGTGAGAATTCAACATGATGGTGAAGAGTTCTAAGGCTAATCACACAAGAATGGAGCATCACAACTGTCAAATTAAGGGCTAAACTCATGAGAGTGAGAAAGAATGGATGGTACCGTCATATATACATGATGTATCAAACAATTCAAATTTAGCTTATCTTAGTGGAACTTTAGGCGGTTGCCATCCCAAGAGGGTTTGAAGGATCCCAAGCTCCATACCTCACGATCGAAGGTGTGTTGTTTGTTCATCATCAAGTTATTCGCCCTTAATGAGATTCCATCCCATGGCTAGTAACTATCACCTTCTTCTAGTAGAAATAAGGAAGGAGACATGGTGATAATCAGGTTGGTTTTGAAGAACCTAAGTCAGATGTTCTTAGTTAAGAAATAGATTTTGATTAGCATTAGAGTTGATCACATGATCCCTTTGATTGTGTGATATCATCCATACTTCGACAAATCTGTTTCATGCCTCAGCCCCTTTTTTTCCTATCGCTTCTCATTTTTTCTTCTTCTTCGTGATCTCAATCATTCCTATCAATTTTAATCAACAAATAAAAATGAACTTTACCCATCATTCCATGAGGATTGATTCCCGAGTTTACTATTGTACTGAGTTATTTCCTAATATAATCAAAAGGAGTAAATTCGAGAGTATAAATATTATTGACTGACAGATTTTGGGGCTTTTGAACGACCATCAATTTTGTTCTATCAATAAGATAATTCAAAACCATCTACGAAAATGCAATAAAGGCTGAACCCAAAGATGAAAGAAGTGGTAAAAAAAGAAATCATTAAATGATTAGATCCTGATATTATTTACCCTATTTTTGATAGTTAGTGTGATCACTCTTAAGTCGTTGTTATTAAGGTCATCAATTTTAAATTTATAAACTGATTTTCGTAGGAATAGTTTCTTGATGAATTAGTGGAAAATCAGGTCGAATAAGAGGAGTGTTTTGAATTAGTTGATGTATATTAATTAATAATCATATTTTGATTTTTTTACTCTCTTAAATCTAATAGCCATAAATAGAAACATTTAGTGCACGTTGAGAGGAAGATTTCTGATAAGTCTTCATTATCATGAGTTAATAATTAGTAAATAATATAATTTTAGCCTTAAATCATGAGAAATAGACTTATATTTGTGTTAAAGTGTGAAAAGTGGTTTTTAGTTGATTAATGTGAATTTTTAGGTAATTATGTGATTTTACATGAATTTATATGATTTTTATAGTCTTGCTTTTGAGATAAATGAAGAAAAAGAAATAAAAAATGAGGGGGACCCGCCGGCCAGCCGGGCCCACAAGCAGGTCGGAAGCTCAGTCAGGGAGTAGCCGCGAGCAGAGGCTTGAGCGGCTTGGACCAATAGGGGCACGTGCGCCACTCCCCTTCCACATCACCGGTGGCCAGCTGGTTGTGGGGCAAAGAGTGGTCGTACACAGAGAAGGAACTTTGCTTAGAAATGTAACATTACTATATATTCGCTCGAAAAATCAGCACACAACCGATGTGGGACTAAACCGGCGTCACACCTTCCTCAGAAGGGGCGGACAATATTACTATATATTTTTATCTGATTATCGCGACTTTCCTGCAGATCGCTGGTGAAGGATTAAGCAACGAGAATCGCTGGATCATCGGCGAAAATCTCGTCAACGCGATTCACCGAGCATTGCTACTAAAATTGCTGAACGATTCGCGATAAAAGGCTCGCGAATCCATCGAGTAAATCATCTCGATTGATCGACGAACAAGCCATCGTCAGCAAGAGGACGATCCGCCGGGAGACGAGTCGCCACCTCCTGTGAGCTTACCAGATGCGATGAAGAGCCTCCTCTTGCTGCGCGGACCTGAGGATGAAGCTCCCTGACATGCGCCCCACCTCCATCCAGCTCCTCTCCGTCGGGTGACAGCCGTCGGAGACCCGCAAAGTCGTTGTTTTTCCGCTCCGCCGGGTGACAGCCGCCGGAGACAAGTCGACGACCCATTTCATTAATCTCTAGACTTCGCGAGAAGATATAGATATTGCCCATGTCGTCTTTGTCCAAAGAGAGCCTTTAAGGCTGTGGACACTGCACGACAATCCTCCTGAACGTTCAGGATTCCGGTGCATCGCCGTCGCGATGCCGGAACTCTGTTTTCCTGCTTTCAACTTAATTTACGCTTCATTTAGTGATACTTTGTGTGATTTTAATTTACCAAAATGTACTTCATTCAATTACGATTCTTCCGGCTTTTACAGATCTTAATTTGATTAATTAAATCGTCCGTAATCACTTACGTAAGAATCACCGGGCAGAATCACCGGGCGTTCGCCAGGTGCTGACGTCATCCTGACGTCTGCACCCTTATTTCTTTTTTTCGTGAATTTTAAATATATTTCCTTTTCATTTCTTAGTATAAAATTCATAAAAAATCGTATTCATTGAGAAAAAATCTGAATAATTACAAAATATTATATTACATCCTTGTGATCGACTGAAAAATTACCGCTATTTTTTGGAAGTTTTATTGAATTAGAATTGATATATTTGTTCAGAAATACTTCTAAATATCCGAAAATTCGTATTTTCTAGTTTTACAAATCTTATATTTGCGTGATTTAATATACAACGACTGAGTCATGCCAATTTCTCTCAAGGTTCAACATGTTACCTTGTAGATAAATTACGGATGGCCAATGGGGATGATTCTTGCCCTCAATGACTTCGACTATTCAAAATCAATGAGATGAAGGGAAAGAGAGTTTCATGAAATTTAGATTGAATTAACTAGGATAAAAGAGGTTTGATTACATAAAAGTCAAAGGAAAAAAACGAAAATGATTTCTCCCTATTATTTTGATGTACGTGGGGAGAGAATGGTAGCCTCATACAAGGGAGGAGACCCACGATCATTGTTGGTCCTCTCACCACCAGAAGGAGGGGGGAAGGGATGAGTTGGCCCATCTATGGTGTGCTGTAGGTGGCGCCAAGGGAGAGAGGAGGAGCAGGCCATCCCCACGGTGAGAGAGGCATGCATCAAAAGAAGAAGGGGAGGAATGAGAGGGCTGATCGTGAATGAGGTCCCAGCCGGCAGCCGGTCCTTTTTTGGAATCGTATGCCCTATTGTAGGCATATCCCTTATGCCCCTCTCAATTTGCAAAAATAACAAGTCAATCAATTTTACAATTTTACCTTTTTATGTTCACTAATTTTTCAATAGTCTATGATGAAACTAGGAATATATGTATGCTCATGCTCATGGATCATGATTATCTATTAATCCTCTTTCCTCCAATAATTATTAATCATATATTTCTCCTCTCATTTATTTGATGCTCTCATCCTAGTAAAAAATAAGAAACTAATACAATTCATAAACCATCATGTGAAAATGCATAAGTAAAGTATTGAATGTATATTCATCATATTCCTATATTACTTAGGCTTTAAATAATAATCTTGTTGTCCCCTTTAGTATGATGATTGCTCAAATTATCACAGTGGGTCAATCCAACACAAGTAGTTCCAAAAAAAGCTGGATTGGCAGTGATAAAAAATGAAAAAGGGGAAGAATTACAAAGAAGAGTCACCATGAGATGGAGGAATGTATTGATTATTGCAAGCTAATGTGGTGACAAAGAAAGATTATTTCTCTTTGCTATTTATTGATCAAAATTTAAAAAGTCTAGTAGGGCAAAAATATTTTTGTTTCTTAGATGAATTTTCAGGATATAATTAGATAGTAATATTTCCAGAAAACTAATAGAAAACAACATTTACATGCCTATTTGGAACATATGTATTAAACACATGCCCTTTGGTTTATGCAATGCACCTGTCACATTTTAGAGATGCATGATGTTTATATTTACTAAAATGATTAGTGACTTTTTAGAAGTTTTCATGGACGATTTTTCAGTATTTGGTGATTCATTTGATATATGTCTAAATAATCTTAAGAAAGTACTCAAGAGATGTGAATAAATCAATTTAGTTTTTAGTTGGGAGAAAAGTCATTTCATGGTTAGAGAATGTATTATTTAAGGGTACATTGTGAGTGAAATAAGAATAAAGATAGATAGAGCACAAATTGATTCTATTATTAATTTACCACCACCTAATTTTGTTTGTCAAATGAGATCATTTCTAGGACATGTTGGTTTCTATAGAAGATTTATCAAGGATTTTTTGAAAATTACTAAACCTCTTACAACCTTATTTGCTAAAGATATCACTTTTGATTTTGATGAAACATATTTAAAAACTTTTTCTATACTTAAGAATGCATTAACCAAGACACCTATTTTACAATCATCCACTTGGTCAATTCCTTTTGAAATTATGTCTGATGCTTCAAATCATGCGTTGAGTGCTATTTTAGGTCAACTAATTGACAAGAAACTAATGGTAATTTATTATGTAAGTAAGAACTACTTCTGATGCACAAATAAATTATATCACTAAGGAAAAAGGATTATAGATTGTACATCTTAGCATCTAAAGTTATTGTATATTCAAATCACACAGCCCTAAGATATTTGTTGACCAAGAAAGAAACAAAATCACATTCACATAGATAGATTTTATTATTGCAAGAATTTAACTTAGAGATCTGAGATAAGAAAGGTGTAAAAAATATAGTAGCTGACTATTTGTCTATAATTAAAGGACATGAAAAGGTTGAATTAAATGATTTATTTCTTGATGAACATATTTTTACGTTACATAGTAAACTCACACCATGGTATGTACATATAGTCAATTATTTAGCAATTGGTAAAATACTATCACATTGGCAAAAGGATGAATGGGAATGATTCTTTGTTCGCGTTAAATATTATATTTGGGATGATCTCAATTTAGTTTATCTATGTTCAGATCAAATTTTACAAAGATGTATTCTTGAAGAAGAATAATTTCTAATTTTAGAACATTGTCATTCTTGCAATGTGGTTTCTATTGGCCATCTTTATTTAAAGATGCTCACACATTTTATAGGCAATGTATCAAATGTCAGGCTGCCATAAATATTCAAAAAGGAAATACAATGACTTGAAAATCAATAAATATTGTTGAAATTTTTGTTATTTGGGGCATTGACTTTACAGGACCCTTTCCTTCAACTTGAGGCTATGCATATATTTTGTTAGCTATTGATTATGTGTCAAAATAGGTAGAAGTTATTAAAACAAGGACAAATGATCATAAAGTAGTTATCTAATTTGTCTAAAGTAATATCTTTACATGAGTTGGATGTCTTAAAGTAATAATTAGTGATGGGATAACTCATTTCACTAATCATTACTTTAGAATGTTACTTAGAAAATATGGTGTTAATCATAGGATAGTACCCTATATCATCCTTAAAAAAATGGTCAAATAGAATTAGCCAATAGAGATATGAAAAATATTTTATAGAAAGTTGTCTCTTGAAAAATGGTCAAACAGAATTAGCTAATAGAGAAATAAAAAATATTTTGCAGAAAGTTCTTTCTTGAAAAATATTTAGCCAATAGAAAAGATTGATTTGAAAAATTAAATGATGCATTATGAGCATATAAGACAGCATACAAAGCTCCTTTAAGTACATCACCTTAAATATTAGTTTATGGAAAATCGTGTCATTCACTAGTAGAAATTCAACACCTTGTATATTAGGGCTATTATGAAGCTTAATATGGATACAAAAAATTCAAGCCATAAGAGATTTTTACAATTTCAGGAATTAAATGAAATTCGTAATGAAGCTTATGAGAATTCTCTGATTTATAAGGCTAAAGTTAAGGATTTCTATAATAGACATCACTAAAAAAAATATAGAACCACAACAAAAAGTTTGGTTATATAGTTCCAGATTAAAATTATTTATTGGAAAGTTAACATCTAGGTGGGTTGGTCCATATCTTCTTGAGAATATTGATCAATATGGGGTAGTGACATGACGTAGTCATTGTATAATAAACCACGTAAATTTAAAATTTATCACACCAGAAAATATCAATTTTTAGATATTTAGAAGTATTTCAGAAAAAAATATCAATTATAATTCAATAAAAGTTCTAGAAATATTGAATTTTTTTTGGACGATCACAAGGTTGTATATAATATCAGGTAATATTTCAGATTTTTTCTCAAAGAATAAGATTTTTTTATAAATTTTATACTAAGAAATAAAAATATAGTATATTTAAAATTTATAAAAAAAATAAATAAGAATCACAAGGATGTTAGGATGATATCAGCACCCGACAAACGTGAATCGGGCTAAAATAGAATTTTACTTGATGATTATTACGTAAGTGATTAGAGACAATTTAATTGGTCAAATTTAAATTTATAAAAGCTAGAAGAATCATAAATGAATGAAAAATAATTTAAAAACTTGACATCACACAAAAGATCACTAAATGAAGTGAAAATTAAGGTGAAAGCAAGAAAGATAGATTTTGGCCTCGTGACAACGATCGTTAGAATTTTGTATGTTTGCGATATCCACAACCTCAATAACTTTCCTTAAACATGGACGACATAGGTATTCACTGGATTTGCTTTCAAAGTACATAAAATGATGGTAGAAGTTAAACTAGTTAAAAAATAGTAAAACATAGTTATGGCATCGTGATGGTAATGCGTCGGCGATGTGTTAGAATCTTAAGTATTTGGGAGGATTTTCGTGCAATGTCTACAACCTCAAATGCTTTGCTTAGACAATGACAATATGGGTGACATGACTTAGTTGTTGTATAGTCAATCACGCAAATTTAAAATTTATAACACTAGAAAATACTAATTTTTAGATATTTAGAAGTAGTTCTAAACAAATATATCAATTATAATTCAATAAAACTTTTAAAAATATAACTTTTAAAAACAGAGATGTAATATAATATATAATTGTTCAGAATTTTTCTCATAAAATATAATTTTTTATGAATTTTATACTAATAAATAAAAATGAAATATATTTAAAATTCACGAAAAAGGAAAATAAGGGTGCGGAGTCAGGAAAATAAGGAAAACGCCTAACGAATGCGAATTGGACAGAAATAGTGTTTCTTACGTACGTGATTATAGATGATTTAATTGGTCAAATTAAGATATGTAAAAGCTAGAAAAATTATAATTGAATGAAGTATAGCTTGGTAAATTTAAATCACACAAATTATCACTAAATGAAGTGAAAATTAAGCTGAAAACAAAAAAACAGAGTTCTAACATTGCGGCGGCAATACGTCGGCGATGCACCAGAATCCTGAGTGTTTAAGAGAATCGTTGTGTAGTGTCTACGGCCTGAAAGGCTCTCCTTGGATAAGGATAATGTAGGCAATCTCTAGATCTCCTTGTGAAGTCTAGAGATTAATAAAATGGGTCGTCGAATCATCTCCGGCGGCTATCACTTGATATAGCAAAAAAGTGACAACTTTGCGGCTCTCTGATGGCTGTCATCTAATGCAGAGGAACTAGATGAAGTTGGGGCGTGTGTCACGGAGCTTCATCCTCAAGTTCGCATAAGAAGAGGAGGCTTTTCATCACACTCAGTACGCTCTCAAGAGGTGGTGACTCGTCTCCTCGTGGATCGTCCTCTTCTCGACAAGGGCTTGTTCATTGATCAATCGGAGATGATTTACTCGATGGATTCGTGATCTTTTTATCGCGAATCATTTAGCAATTTTAGTAACAATATTCTGCAAATTGCGTTGATGAGATTTTTGCCGATGGTCCTACGATTTTGGCGGCTTAATCCTTCACTAGTGATCTACAAGAAAGTCGTGATAATCATATAAAAATACGAGTTTTGGCTCTAGGAGGATTTGAACCCACGCTAGTTGTCTGTTTACATGAGAGAGATTGAAATAAGTACTCTAATGCCCTTATCAAGTGACGTCATTGACGTGACTTAGTCGTTGTATAGTCCCTTAGTAATAGAATTACGAAAATAAAAATTTACAAATCTCAAACATCATATTTTAATAAAAATAATAATAATTAAAAATGATGTACCTTTAGACACTTTGGATTCTTATATCAAGTATTTAAGAATAATGTCAAGCACTTATGATGGCGAGCGGGACCTGTCTCCATCAGCTCAGGAGACACCGGCAGTCCGAGTTCAGCCTGATCGACGCGCGAAGACGAAGGAGCCTGGCTTTCGCTACATGGCCTAGCCCTTCGAGACGATGACATTCCACCTCCGCGACGACGACGAGCTCGAGCTCACCCTTATCCTTCTTTGTATTTTCACGTTGACTTTTGGCCCTCGCATTTGTGTGTTAGCGGGTCCAATTCTATGTGTGTGTGTTGTTGTTTGTGTCTCCCTTTCTTTAGGATTTTATTGGGTCTCTCTCTTGAGGCCCAATTAAAACCCTAAGGGGGGGGACCTATATTTCTTTCCTTTTGGGCCTCTTTTGGGGCTTATTTGGGTCTTCATTTGAGGCCCACTTAAGCACCGTACGAGGGCCCTCTTCTTTCTCCTTTTAGGGGAGCTTATTGGGTCTCTCTTTTAGAGGCCTAATAAGCCCCTTTTATAGCCTTTTTGTGGCTTATGGGCTTGAGGGCCTCAAGTGGGCCCACCTCCCCTTAGCCCACTTGTGGGCCCTATATAAGGGGAGGTAGGACCCCCCCTCAAAAAAAAAAAAAGCACTGAATTTTGTGAGAGATTATCGTTTGTGAGTTACCTTCTTTGTGACCTAGGGTAGGGAGGGAAGGAGGGAGAGGAAGGCCGTCGATACCTGACGTGACTTAGTCATTGTATATTAAATTATGCAAATATAAAATTTATAAAACTAGAAAATATAAATTTTCAGATATTTAGAAGTATTTCTAAACAAATTTATGATTTATAATTCAATAAAACTTCCAAAAATAGTGGTAATTTTCCAGGTCGATCATAAGGATGTAATATAATATCTGGTAATTATTCAGAATTTTCCTCAGAGAATACTATTTTATATGAATTTTATACTAAGAAATGAAAAGGAAATATATTTGAAATTCATGAAAAAAAGGAAATACAGGTGCGGGTGTTAGGATGACGTCAGCACCCGACGAACGCCAATCGGGTAGAAATAGAGTTCCGCCCGATGATTCTTACGTAAGCGAGTACAGACGATTTAATTGATCAAATTAAGATTTGTAAAAGACGGAAGAATCGTAATGAAATGAAGTATATGTTGGTAAATTGAAAATCAACAAATTATCACTAAATGAAACGAAAATTAATTTGAAAGTAGGAAAACAGAGTTCCGGCGTCGTGACGGCGATACGTCTGCGATGCACCGGAATCCTGAACGTTCGGGAGGATCGTCGTGCAGTGTCTACGGCCTCGAAGGCTGTCCTTGGACAACAACGACGTGGGCAATATCTAGATCTTCTCGCGAAGTCTAGAGATTAATGAAATGGGTCGTCGACTCGTCTCCGGCGGCTGTCACCCGGCGGAGTGAAAGAATGGCGACTTTGCGGCTCTCCAGCGGCTGTCACCTGACGGAGAGGAGCTGGATGGAGGTGGGGCGCGTGTTAGGGAGCTTCATCCTCAGGTCCGCACAGCAAGAGGAGGCTCTTCATCGCATCTGGTATGCTCTCAGGAGGTGGCGACTCGTCTCCCGGCGGATCGTCCTCTTCTCGACGACAACTTGTTCGTTGATCAATCGGAGATGATTTACTCGATGGATTCGCGATCCTTTTATCGCGAATCCTTCAGCAATTTGAGTAACAATGCTCCGCGAATCGTGTTGATGAGATTTTCGCCAATGATCCAGCGATTCTAGTTGCTTAATCCTTCACTGGCGATCTGCAGGAAAGTCATGATAATCAGATAAAAATATGAGTTTTGGCTCTAAGAGGATTCGAACCCGTGTGGGTTGTCCGCCCCTTCTGAGGAAGGTGTGACGCGGGTTTAGTCCCACATCAGTTGTGCGCCGATTTTTCGGGCGAATATATAGTAATGTTACATTTCAAAGCAAAGTTCCTTCTCTCGCGTGTACGACCACTCCTTGCCCCACAGTCGGCTGGCCACCGGTGACGTGGAAGGGGGGTGGCGCACACGTGCCCCTATCGGTCCAAGCCGCTCGAGCCCCTGCTCGGGGCTACTCCCTGACTGAGCTTCCGATCCGCTTGCGGGCCCGGCTGGCCGGTGGGTCCCCCCATTTTGCAATATTTTTATTTTTATTTCTTGTTCTTCATTTATCTCAAAAGTAAGACTGTAAAAATCGTATAAAATCACATAATTACCTAAAAATTCACGTTAATCAATTGAAAACCACTTTTCATATTTTAACACAAATATAAGTCTATTTATCATGAGTTAAGGCTAAAACTATATTATTTACTAATTATTAACTCATGATAATCAAGACTTATCAATACCCTTTGAAGACTTCGTTCATTGTGACGCTGCTGCCTGAGCAGTCCCGCCGCCGCCAGACATCTTCATTGCCGCCCGTGAGATTGCCGCCATCATCGGACAAAACGGTCGCGGTTGCCACTGCAACCGCCGCCACCTCTGTTGGAACCCCGTCACGCCGTCGTGACAAAAGGGGCTTGCTTCGCCTCCCTACGAGCCGTCGCCGAGCACTCTGCCGGAGTCTCTTGACTCCTAGTTCGACTGCCACCTCTTCCTTCGGAACTCCACCATAAACTTGCCGGAGCTGCCATCCGCCACTCTGCCCAGTCGCTGGCCGTTCGCCGACGAACGGCTACCTGCCGCCGACGTCGGGAGAGACCCTGCAGCCGTGCCGACGAGCCAGATCCAGTCCAAGCTCCTCACAGGCCCCTGCCGAAGTTTCCCGACAATCCGCCACCGTCGTGCCGTTTCTGGCACCACCTAGACTAGGAGGGCTCAACCCTCCCTGGTATCGTCGGCCGGGATCGTCTCCTTCCTCTACTCTGCTTCTCGGCGCCGCCAGAGAAGGTCGATCCTTCTGGCGACGGTTGGGCTTCCGCCCAACCGCCAACGCTCGGCATTCCCGCCGAAGCGCTGCCGCCGCACGTGCCCACACGCTGGCTCTTGCGGTCGGCGCGCCCACCCGGCGCCGCCGCCCATGTGCCCCAAGGCACGCCGCGTGCGCCTGCTAGCATGCCCTTTGGCCCACCAGCAGGCCCACGCCCGCGCCGACCGCGTTACGCCTTACGACGATGACTACTGCAACTCTCGACTAGAACCGACCGTCGAGACTGAGCATCACTCTTCATCGAACATCTCTGCTTACGTTGAGTCTCCGCTCTGTCACGACCCACCGGGCTATGCAGCCCTAAAGGTTAGCTCCGTACCCCTTCTTTCTTAAGTTTAATTATCTTTCGAAGGGTTTTCTCGGCTCATTTCCACCGCCATCAGGAGAATGTAGACAGGATAGGACGGGTTATAGGATCATGACTTCTGACGCTATGTCAGACTCGTCACCATTCGTGAACTGCAGCCCTAGGCTACTTCACGACGACCGTTCCGCCATCTGTCCGGACATGAACCGAGAGTGTCTCACACTTACCATCGTCGAGTGTTTCCTCGAGTTGTCCTAGGTTGATAGTGCATATTGGTACGCCTACCTGTACTTAGGTTAGGTGGTCAGACCTAGAGTCTAAGGTCCATACATTCTTATCGGATCGATCTGATTGTCCCATCCCGGGTCTTGAGTTTCATTGATTAAGTACAAGGGTTCTCGCCCTGTCCTGCATCAACTTGAATATTTAAGCACTCATTGGCATAACAATCTAGACTTTACTTCTTCTATTCACATCTTTATCACTTCTTCACTCATAGATATATTTACAAGATGTTCTAATTATTAATAATCATCCAATAATAATATTGATCCTACATTTCCCTTCTTCCATGACTTGATTTTTGAAGTTTGCACTATATTTCTTCCTTCTTTTTTTATATATATATAGTGGATAAGTAGCTTTTCATGTAGACAAATTTCGACAATAAGAATGATGTCTCACACCCTTCATGTGTACTCTTCATTTTTAAGACTTTTATTTTATCCACTTATTTTACAGCAAGTGTTTTTCTATACATAATTTTCAATATAGAGAATGATGTCTCACACCCTTCATGTGTACTCTTCGTTTCTAGATTTTTCATATTGCTCTCTTTTTTTTTTCAAAATAAGTGATTTCTCCTCACAAGTCCTATAGATTTGGGTGCAAAAATCTCTATTAAACTCAAATGATCAATCAGATTTTCACATCAAGTAAATACTATCCATCAAGATCATGAAGTGAAAATCTGTAAAATTAAATCCATGTTATCTATCATGTATCCAAGGAGTATTCCAACATTTCATGCTACTAGATCATTCTTTTGACTCAATAATAATCTTCCTAGTATCTTTTGGTATCAATCAATCTAATTGATTTAATTTTTCATACATGCAATATGATGTAAGAAATTTGTAAATTAGATAGTTCTGACAATTCTAGTTTTTGTTTTCAGTTCTATTTTTAGCAACAATAAATTTGTCAAAAATAAATCAAAACTATCCTCTTTATAGCTGTAATTTCGAATTTCAGTAATATATGTCTAGGGGATTGAAATGTGAGAAAAGGGTCTCTAGAATTTCATATTTTGGGCTGTTTTTTGTCTGCTATTTTTGACAGTCTGTTGTTCCTTACAGAAAACTAGAAAATAGATGTTGTAGTTTTTCTGAATTTTATTTTATTTTTATTTTTTTAGTTCCTGTTCTAAGTTGAACAAAATGCAAACACATGTTCTTAATCGTCCTACAGCATAAATTAATAATTAATACTTTCACCCCCCAACTTAAAAATGACATAGAAAAATCGAAAAAAAATATATAGAAAATTTAATTTTCAAGTGAAGCATATATATGTGCAAAGTTAAGCATTAAAAATATTGTCATAAATGATAAAGCTCAGAAAGACATCACCTCAACCTCGTTTTTAATTTTCCACTTCATCTTACACTTCTCCTCCTACACTTTTTCAAAAAAACAAATATAGAAATAAGTACTGCAAAATTCTAAGAAAAATAGAGCTTAAAAAAAGATCAAACAGAATGAAATAAATACCATGGGTTGCCTCCCATGCAGTGCTGAATTTAATATCTTCAGCTAGACAGCTCTTAGATCATATAAGATGATCTATGACCATCAAAATATATTTTTATCCCAAGGTAAGTTTCATGATATTCTTTTTCAGATTTAGCATAAATTCATATACTTCATATATATACCTTGACATACTTTCAACCAAAACAAAATGGAAATTAACAAAATTTTCTTAAAAATAATATTCCCATTTTGAAAAGAATCTTTCCTCATTTCTATCTTGTTTTGTAAGGCTCTCATTCATTAATAAATACTTTCTATTAATAGACCATACAATGTGATCAGGCCATATAATTTTCAAATTAGCTCTTACCTAATCTAGAATTTTTTCATCTAAATTGATATCTCTAATTCTTCCACTCACCCATTTCTTAATATGTTCTTTTATTTACATAATTTTCTTTTGCTCAATTTTATCTTCCATACATATTTATTCAATTTGTGAGTGAAATATTTCAAACTTAGAAATAATTCTAATGGGCTGTGGGTTTTGAAGGATGGAAGGATTGTCTTCTTTAATCTAAGACCTAATGAATTCAGTAAAATTTAAATTTTCTCTTGTAAAATTATCTCTATATTCATATTCATTATTTTTGTTTCTCTCCATTAGTTGAATCAACTCTTTTTCTAACTTTTCGTTTCTCAACTCATCAAATTCTTCATCTTCTCAAGAGCTATCTTCTAATTTCAGTATATGATATACATCATCATCCTCACTATCAACATTCATGGCTGCAAAATTATGATTAGATTTATTAATTCAGTAGAACTGTGAGTAGAGGGCTCCAATGGCTAAGGACATGTGGGGGACAAGTGTACGTTATTTCCCTTCTACATCACTAGTGGCATATCAAGTGTGGGATAAAGAGTGGTCATACACATGTGAGAAAAGGACACATTGATCACCACATCTCATATTACTATATATATGTCTCAAACCTCGAAAAATAATTAATGTAGGACTAAACCAATGGTCACAACTTCGAAAAGTTTTAAATTATTTTACTACTTAAAATACCCCTTATTTATGAGAAATAGATACCCTTATGACATCACTTTATAAGGGTATTCACATACTTGTTTCACTTTCTCTTATATAGGCAAGCAATTGACAAGAGTTCAAATCATACTAAAATAAAAATTTATATTTTTATCTAAGTAAATCAGGATTTTCTTATTACTAGTGAATAATTAAGCCATCATAATCTCTCAATCATCAATGAAAATCTCATCAATGTAATTCATAGAGCATCATAACTAAAATTATCAAATAATTCTACATAAAAGGATCGCAAATCTATCGAGTAAAAGATCTTTGATTGATTGATGAATAAGCCATCATTGGGAAGAGAACAAATTATCGAGGGACAAATTATCACCTCTTAAGAGCGTACTAGATGCGATGAAAAGTTTCCTCTTGCTACGTAGACTTGATGATGAAGCTCCCTAAGACATACCTTAGCTCTATCTAGTTTACTCTGTTGGGTGATAGTCACTGAGAATTCATAAAGTTGTCATTTTTCCATTCTACCGAGCAGCAACCATAAGAGATGATTTGTCGACCTACTTCAATAATTTATAGTCTTTGCAAGAAGATGTAAAGATTGTTCACATTGTCTTTGTCCAAAGAGAGTCTTTAAGGTCATGGACATTACATGATAGTTCTCCCAAACACTCAAGATTCTGATGCGTCACCATCACAACACAAGAATTTTATTTTATTATTTTTTAACTAATTTATCTTCTACTATTATTTTCTGAACTTCGAAAGAAGATCTAACAAATATCCAACTCATATATGTCCAAAGAGAGCCTTTGAGACCATGGACATCATTTGATAATCCTTATGAATACATAAAATTTTGGCAATTGATGTCGCAAGGCTGGAACTTTGACTTTCTTACTTTAAACTTAATTTTTGTTTAATTTAGTTATGGTTCATGTGACTTAAAGTTTTGAAAACCTTCTTCATTCATTTATTTTGACTAATTAAATCATGTGTAATTACTTACGTAAAAATTACCAAGCTAAACTTTATTTCTGACTGATTTGCATTTGTCAAGGTGTTAACATCATCATGACGTCCACACTCTTATTTTCCTTTTTCATGAATTTTAAATATATTTAATATTCATGATTTAGTCTAAAATTATAAAAAATTGTATTCTTTTAAGGAAATTTTAAAATATTATCTGATATTACCTTAGATCCTTATGATTGACCTAAAAATTATTTACTATTTTTTAAACTTTTTATCAAATTATAATTAATTTATTTATTCTAAAATATTTTTTAAAATCTAAAATTTTATATTTTTTAGTTCATAAATTTTAAATTTTTATGATTTAGTATACAACGAGTGATAAGGTTTTATTATCATAAGTTAATAATTAGTAAATAATATAGTTTTGCTTAACTCATGGTAAATAGATTTATATTTATGTTAAATTATGAAAAGTGATTTTCAATTGATTAACATAAATTTTTGGTTAATTATGTGATTTTCTACGTGTTTATATAATTTTTATAGTCCTATTTTTGAGATAAATGAAGAAAAAGAAATAAAAATAAAAATATAGCAAAAGGGGAAGACCTATCGGCTAGCCGGGCCCGCAAGCAAGTTGAAAGCGTAGTCAAGGGGAGCCGCTAGCAGGGGCTCGAATGGCTAGAACCGATGGGGGCACATGTGTGCCACTCCCTTTCCATGTCACTAGTGGTCAACCATTTGTGGGGCAAGGAGTGGTCCTACACACGGGAGAAAAAGACTCATTACTTGCAAATGTGATATTATCATATATTCCTCCAAAACTTCGGCACACAAGTAATGTGGAACCAAACTCGTGTCACACCTTCCCTCGAAAAACTTCAAAGATTTTAATACCTAAACTACCCCTTAGTTATAACATAGATATATCATGATGACGTCACTTGATAAGGGCATTAGAGTACTTATTTCAATCTCTCTCATGTAGGCGGGCGACTAGCGTGAGTTCAAATACTCTTAGAGACAAAACTCGTATTTTTATTTGATTATCGTAATTTTTCTGTAGATTGCCGGTGAAGGATTAAG